GCACAAGAGAAACTTCCCCTCTTACCACCATCCCCCCTCCTCCACCAATGAAAATCGCTAAGGGCATGTAGATATATATATATATATATATATATATATATATATATATATATAGAGAGTGCGTGTGTTATATAGGGGTATTGCGCGAGCGCGCATGGTGCCCCGTTCTCGTACTCTTGTACGTGTTATGCCGTGCGGTACGGTCCAACGTAGGGACAAGGGAGGCGATATATAATGTTCCGCGATATTAAACGGGACGCATTCCACCGAAGCCACCCTCTGGTCTCTGCTATGAATGCTTCTACGACCCCCGTCTCTTGCTTCCCCATTCCCCCCGTTTCCAACTCCGACCTTCTCTATCCACCCCAAAACTCTACAGTACGAGAACGTGAACGAAGAGAGACAGAGAGAGAGAGAGAGAGAAGAGAAAGAGAAAGAGAGAGAGAGAGAGAGAAGAGATAGAGAGTGAGAGAGAGAGGGAAATATAGAGAGGAAGAGAACGAAGCTGGCCTACTCGACCAACAGAGAGCCACCCCGAAATGGTTATACGGCAAATTTACAGCTTAGCTCTAGTGCCACTACCACCACTACTATCACCACCATCACTAACATCAATACCAACAGCACTACTACTACAAACGCTACTATCATCTATACCACCGTCACCAACACCCTACGAACACACCATTTACTACACCCAAGAGTAGGTTGAGTAGATTGGAAGGAGGAGTGTGAGTAGGTTTTCGGTAGAGATACTAGAGGTGGAATCCAGTGTGGATATGTGTCTGTATAACAGTTTAGTTTCGGTACGGATAAAGCGACAACAAACATTTTGTGAACTTGAATTAAGCTAATAGAAATGCCACATGAGGTTCGACGATGAGATAGTTTATACTTTCTATAAGTAAATCGAAATAAATATTCGATTATATTTTATTCTTGAACGATCTATATAAATTTTTATACGTTTATAATATCATTCGTACTCGTTCATTTAATCCCCATTGCTTTTGTCAGATTTTAATCTGACCGTGGGAACGATCAAGGAGAGAAAGAAAGAAAGAGAGAAAAATAGAATGAAAATGATCGTATGAGAGGAAGAAGAATTTTACGTTAAAGAAAAATGAAAGGATAAAGAAAAATGTCTGCCGAACGAGGAAGTTTCGTCGGTGAGGAAGAAAAGCAGCAGCGGTAGTAGCACCAGTCGTACCAACACCAGTAAAAGCAAAACGTACCAACGTCAACGTGTGATGGTAGTGATGGTAGTGGTGATGGTGATGATGGTAGTGGTGGTAGTAGATGGTTCGAGCGTAGCCGCATTTCCATGCGAGATAGGAGAAGATAGTATAAGGGTAGAGAGATAGCCGGGAGCGTAATATCGGCGAGTGGGCAGGTCATGCTCCAGAGAAAAGGACGTCGCTTGGGTCTCTCACGGTCGCCCTGGAGGAGTCGCGGTCTCCCGTGACATTCCAAAATGCCCATCCTCTCTTGACCAACCTGTCTCTTCTTCACTCCACTCTCCTCTCCTCTCCTCTCCTTTCCTCTCCTCACCTCACCTCACTTCACCTCACCTCTTCTCTTCTTCTCCTCCTCTTCCATCTTCCTCCACCTTCTCCATCTCATTCTCCACCTCTCAGTGTCCATTCCCTGCTCAAACAGCTTCTCTCTCTCTCTCTCTCTCTCTCTCTCTCCTACATGTTCTGGTTCTCCCTCTCAGACCTTAGCAAGGCAACGGGGGTGTGGATGCACCCTATCACGGCCTGCCCTGGCCATTTCCCATCCTTCATCCGTACATTTCCATCCCCCCTCGACCACCTCGTGCGCCGAATGCAACCATGCGTCATCCGCCATGATCTATGCATCCTGCCGTCCTGGCATTGCG